AAATCTCAATGTATCCTTCCTGGTAAAATATTTTATAAATAATAAATAAAATAATAATGATACAATATGTTATTTATGTGTTAATTGTATTGAACTGCTTTGTTATAGTTATACATTTATAGGAAAAGATGGGTGCGTTATGCAGTATTTATTTGTTGAATAAATGTTGTTGCCTGTTTTATCCAACGTTGGTGTCTGTCATTCTTGGGGGGTTTGCCGGTAAGTGATGGTAATATTTATTTCATCCAATCCCCACTATGTACCTACAAGGTTTTTTTCAGTATCTCCACTGGAATAAAAAAGTAAAACACATAAATCCTGGACTGTTGGTGGGCCATGAGGACTTGTTTGGGGACCACTGTTATATATTGTACAGGTTCAGTTAGAAGTTGTTGCCAGTTAATTTATGAACTGTATCTAGCACTTATTAACCAATACTATTTTATTCCTATGTTTTCATAAAAAAAAGGTACTGGGTTTATTTCTGAGAAAACTAATGCCACTATACACAACCTGATTAATATTTACTCTTGATTTTTTACTTCAAGTTGCTTGAAGAACTGTATAAATTTTTTTTATTCCATGGCAAATGCACCACACAGACAAGCATACAAGGGCATCTGTTTGTGGAAGTTCGTATTCCAGAACTTTGGGAATCAACAAGAAGTTGGTTTCTACTTTTGAAACTATAACTATACCGTTTACAGGGAAGGTTGTGCATTAGATTTTGGAAGTTTTCTGAATGGATTTGCTTTTATATAATCACTGGAGTTGAGAGCCATGTCTCACTGTTCAACTTATGGACAGACGTCACTAATAACCACCACTAGTGACGTCTGTCCATAATTTCAACAATGAGATGTAGCTCTCAACTGGAAATCCGATTCATCCTAGTGGTGCTCATTTGGGTTCAAATCATGATTCCTTGCAGGCCAATCAAGTTCCCCCATTCTAATTTCAACAAAACTTGCGTCCTTTGCACGTCCCTTTGCAGACATTGGCATATTCAGAATAATTGAAAAAATAGGGTTATAGAAGTCATTGATTTGACTATTCTACTTCCCATGTTTGTCTACGAAGATTGTATTTCTATGTCCTTGAATTCATATGTCTGTCAGCAATAGCTATGAAGTGTAAGTACAAACTGTTCATATGGTTTACATTCTTAGCATTGATTAGAGTAGTCTCTCTCCTAAACTTGAGCCAATAGCATATCTAATCTAATCATAAATCCCAACCATTAAAAGCTAAAACTGATGATGTGTCAGGTGACATTAATGGGCATGTGCTTCACCTGCTTTAGTAAAGTACAGCTAAACTATATCAGCCTTCAGCAGAGATCTCAAACTCTGGCCATACAGATGTTGATGGCCTTCAACTTCCACAATTCTTTGAATGATATTAGATGACCATATAATCATGGAAGTTGTAGTTCATGGACATCTAGGAGGCCTGGGTTTGAGATGTCTGGCCCACATCTTTGCCTTGTAATCCTTTATTAATTAAACATTTAAAATTCTGATTTGTGTGATGTGATACAACCTGTAAGTCATTGGACTGTAATGCTGAAGTTACTCTTTACATTGTTCAACATCCTCCTGCGTTCCCTCTGTTATATGTATGTGGGAGTTTATTATTAAATTATTCACTGTCTCTTTTTGTGAAATTATAAAACATTTGTACATTTCCAAACATTTGTATCCACAGTTAGCTGGAATCCACTTTGTGGTGTCTGGGTGCAAGCCAGTTTTTACTTGGTATATTCAGCTCCATAACAAATCAAGTACTAGATATGAGTACTGCAAAACATGCTAAAATAAGCACCATATACCACCTGTGAGAATATCTGGAAATGTCCAAAATCAATCATTTGTGTACTTTTTTTATGTATACACATACAGCCAGCAGTTGCCTATCAATGTTTGTTAAAAGGTTATTCCCAGAGATTATTTCCAGTTCCTGCACTAACTACACTAATTATTCACTTGTTTCATGTCTCATCCTACAGTTTTGTTTAAATTTTGCTTTAAAAATATTATTATACATGATTTCACACATTAGTTAGAAAGAAAGGATAGAAAACTGCTTGTATTCTCTTTTGAAAAAATATATCTAGGGAAGTAGAGCTTGACCTTCCAGCAGACCAGACATGTGGCTCATGAGTTCCTGACTATTTGGCCGATTAAAGGGTGCACAAGCAAAAGTGTACCACATAGGTTGGGGGTACCTGGACAAACAATCTGAGACTTTACTCATGATTTAATCCCATCGGGAGCCCAAGACATTGTGTTGTGACCTGTTGCAGATGGAGCTGTGGAGTGGCAGACAATCTTTGCATTCTCTATCTTGTGATGCAGGAAAGCTGCACTCCTACCCCCCCATCTGGACTGGCTGGAGATATCTCAGTCCCCACTAGACCTTCTGGTATAGTTTCACTTACTTTTTGTACTAGGTTGCATTTAAGACACCTATCAGACATTAGACCATTCAAGATGGTGGCTTACCTCTCATCTGACATACGGCACCGTGATCTGACTCAGCAACCTCATTGCAGTGACTCTGAATAAACTGTGCTGAGCTTGGAGGAGATTTTCCTGGGCTTTTGGCTAAAACTCCAGGAACATGGACAGGCATCTTTATCTAAGTTCTGGACCAAAAAAGTAAGGAAGCATGATGAGGGAGAGGACCCCCTCAGGGTGACTACATTCAGCAAAATCTTACTCACTCTATGGTCTGCCTACCTGGAGCGAAAGCCTTCCGAGGCTTTGCCTCCTTGCATCAACCACACATACCGAGGACCATCAGCCGACAGAAGCATCTACCCTCCACATCTTCTGCCTGCCACTGGCGACTGTTAGTTTCCAGGTCTGTGGTTCATGGATGCCGGAATTCATACAGTTCTGGTTCTGGAGGGGAGCCATGCTCTGGCGCTGCCATATAGATACCAATGTGAACTCTCCTACTTGCATTTCACTTTTACTTATGGGGACCCATTTTCTTATGATGTTATCTTGAGTGGAGCAGCTGTTTGATAGTGTCTTTGGTTCCAGTGGTTACCTCAAATGCAAGTTTGACATATACAAGATAATCTAATGTATTCCACACTGCATATACTAGCCGTTTATTCACCATGTCTAGAATCTCACCTCTGACTGATTATTCTGTTTTTCTAATATACCTGTATATAGAATATAGAATGCACACTATAACAATCTCAAAAAAAACTTTGCTTTATTATGTACAAAAAAGTACCAGAGTGAAAACATATAAAAAAAGATAAACAAAGTGACAGAAGCAAGGGCAAACACAATAAAACAATAGTAAATTACCACAAAAATTCTTACAAGCCTCCAGACAGAAACACGAGTCACCAAACCCCCCAATGTTTCGGCACCAACTGGCTGCCTTTATCAAGGGTACAAGGGTACAAGGGTACCCTTGATAAAGGCAGCCAGTTGGTGCCGAAACCCAGGACATAATTTTACCTGCAATTCTCTCCAATCCTAACCAGAAATAAGGCAGTAGAGAAAGAAAGGGTTCTGGATGATTTACAATAATGTGAATTTCCTCTAGTAATTCTCCAGATAGTGTGGCTCTAGATGAGGGCTAATTTTGTATGTATTATTTTTTTTTTGTTATATCTGAATTTTTTTCATTTTCTAGTCATTCTATTAGCACAAAAAGCCTGAACTGTGTTATGCACAAATGTTTGTTTGTTTGTTTTCCCAAGCACTATATTTATAGTGTTATAGTATTGTGTCAACTGTTGCAACCATAATGTTTTAAATATATATTCTCTTGCATTTTTTTATGGTCTTGTGAAATGACAAGAAGTGTACATAATAGAATGTATGTTTATAAATGTGTGCTGATGGTTTCAACAGATTCTCATGTTTCTCTTCTCTTGATTCCACATGTTTTTTTTTTTCAATCATCCCAAGAGTTCGTTGAAGTAAATTTACCAGGGGTTTATTGAAGTAGGACGTCAAATACCCAAATAAAAATAAACGTAAAGTAACATTCCAAGCACCATAACCACTACAGCTCATTGTTATGGCCAGGAATGCCCTGGTGGCAATCAACAATAACATGTCAAACTGTTGTAGCACATTTTGACAACTTACCTGAGTACAGGCACCCAATAAGGCTCAGGTAAGGTGTGCACTTTCGCACCCTAACTGCTACTGAGTGCCACAATAGCCAAGTTGTGACTACAATAAAACATTTAGTGAATACATTTCTGTCTGCACAAAAGCCTCCTATTTTTTATTTTATTTTTTTTCCGTGTCTGATTTTTATTGGAGAGTTTTGCATAAGAGTAAAATAACAGTGGGGGTACAGAAAATAGAAAAGGGGGGGGTAAGTGGGGGGGGATTACAGACAGGTTGGATTTTGTACATTTCACTCAATACAGAAACGTTTACATGGTGGGTTGTACATACGAGCAAGCATTATGCTGCCAGAGTTCTTAATATAATAACCGTACAGTAATTTAATGTAAGTGTACATAATATTCAAACAAGTGTATATAGTCTGCATACAGAGAACATCGTAGCGTCTTCGGGTTTTACAGCAATGATTAGGACATGGCAGGTCTAGAGTGGAATGGAATAGACTGATCCAACATGCTGGGACACATTCAGAATGACATATATCACCTGTAGGGTCCTGTGACGCTAGATTGAGTTGAGGTACAGGTGCTAGAGGGACCGTTGATTATTGTTATTATTAATGGTTCTTACTCGAGAACGTGTGATTCTCCTAGTGACGGTATAGTAGCGTCTGTATGCTGGGGTGTTAATAGATCAGGTCAGAAGCCATGGAGAGGTCAGAGTAGTGCTTAGTTTACTGTACCTGGTACAACATGCGTTAATAATGGCCTTGTGGTCATAAAGAAGGTGGGAGGGAGCCTCTGATAGGGGATTTTGTCTTCAGACATACCATGTTTAGATTCAAATAGTTTGACTGGAATATTGCCTACTGGTACATTCTGGTGAGTATCATATATTGCGTGAGGACAGTCAGTCCAGCCATAGAGCCGTGCTTTCCATTGTGCATTTGCTTAGACGATGGCCCTTTAGATTAGTCATTTTGGAGTGTTTGAGGAGTTGATGTATAAGAGGTAGAGGGGAGATAATGAACAAGAGTGAGATGCAAAGGGAAAGAGGGCGGGGGAGGCGAGGAGGAAGTACAGTGGAAACAAGGAGAGAGTAGAGAAAGGAGAGGGGGAGAAAGGGGAGGAACGAGAGAGAAGTTAGGTCATTGAAGATAGGAAACAAGAGGCAAGAGACTTGAGGCCTGAGACCTGAGGCCCTCACATCCGAGCGACCTTAAATGACGTCTGAGAGTTCACTCCATTCTAGAGACGGAATTTATCCCGAGTCGATGCGGTGTTTGTACGTGGTTTCCCAACCTTTCCATTGTTTGTTAAATTTGGTCATGTTCCCTTTTATGGCCCATTCCTTTTCATAGCAGTATGTGGTGTTTATTCTGTTTAGCAGTTCTTTTGCTGATGGGATAAAGTCACTCTTCCAATGAGACGCAATACATAATTTTGCCGCAATCAGAGTATTAATTACAGCTGCCGTTGAGGGTAGTTGGTGTACGTTCGGTATTAGATGGAGCAAGTAGAAATCAGGACGTAGGGAGAGTTGTAACCCGGAGATGGTGTGTATGACGTTCTGCACATATTTCCAAAAAGTATCCAGGTGTGGGCATTCCCAGAAAATATGTAATATTGTGCCCCTACCACTATTGCACCTCCAGCATGTAGGAGCAGCCGTTGGATATATTTTACTCAACCTATCGGGCACTAAATACCATCTCATTAGTACCTTGAAGTATGCTTCCCATAGATTAACACATTTGGTGGATTTTTTGGTAGTTGTTATCGCAGATAACCAGTCCTTGAGATGGAACCCTGTACCCAAGTCTTTTTCCCAGTGTAGCATGTAGGGTAATTTGGTTTCCTTGGACATGTTTAATTGGGCTAGGTAACACAATGAGAGGAATTTCGGCGGGGTGCGAGTTGTGCTCATGTTGTAGCAAGAGTGGCCTATTGAGCTTAGTATCGATGGGTCTTGATATTTAACAGTTGCAGTATGCAATATATGCTTGACTCTCAAGTAGAGGAAGATATCCCTATGTGGCAGGTTATGAGAGACCTGTAAGTCAGGAAAGGTGCGAAGGCCTTTGGAGTTATACAAGGAGTAGACATGAGTTAAGCCCTGGTGATGCCAGTGCGTTAACGACAAGTCTGGTGATATTGTGGATAGGACTCGTAATGGGGCCAGGTAAAGAAGTTCTTGCTTGGAGCAGAGGTTCGAGCTCCATGCTGTCCAAGAGTTCAGAAGAAATTTTGTGCATGGCAATGGTGGGTGGGTAGGGCATTTTTTCGTGGCCCACATAGTGTCAGATAGGGAATGAAGTTGGCTACATGCTTGTTCAAGTTGAAGCCAAATTGGGCTGGCTTTTCCTGACATAATGTCCAGGCTCTGTGCTAGCGTGGATGCTTTGTAGTAGTTTGTGATATTGGGAACGCTCAGGCCACCTTGATGGATGGGGTTCCATAGGGAGTGAGCAGCGACTCTCGGAGGTTTTCTTTTCCAGATGTGCCCGTTGATAGTTGATTGGAATTTCATAAGAATTGATTTGGGAAGAGTGATGGGTAGTGTCCTGAAGAGATATAGAATATGAGGGAGCGCCATCATTTTAACCGAATTCACTCTTCCTATCCAAGAGGTGTTCAAATTATCCCAGGATTTCAGTTGGTTGGATATTTTCAGTAGGACTGCCTCATGATTTTCTTTTATAGTTTGAGAGTGTGATAGTGTGAGTTTGATACCTAAATACGTAACGGAAGTCTTGCGCCAATCAAAGGGGAATTGTAATTTCAAATCGGCTGTGACCTGGGGTTCGAGGTTCAGAGGGAGTATTTGTGTTTTGCTGATGTTGTTTTTATAAAATGACAATTTACCATATGAGGCAAGAGTATACATGAGATGGGGAATGGCACTTCTAGGGTTTGCTAAAAAAAGAATAACATTGTCCGCAAATAAGGCCAGCTTCTTTTCCCCTGCTGGTGTGGTAAAGCCTGGCAGTAAGGGGTCTTGTTTGATTGTTCGTATGAGAGGCTCTAAACATAAGATAAATATGAGGGGGGATAGGGGACACCCTTGTCTCGTACCATTGGAGATATCAAAGCTTTTAGATAGGAATCCTGAGTTTAGTACTTTCGCCGATGGCGCGGAATAGAGGGCCATAATGCTCGTAATGAAGGTTTTCGAGAATCCATAAGCTTGTAAAACAGTCTCCATGTACGTCCAATTAAGGCGATCAAAAGCCTTTTCTGCGTCCAAGGCCATTAAGACCCCGGACACACGTTGACGAGTTGCCCAGTCGATGAGGTCCATGCAAAATCTGGTATTGTCTCCCACCTGCTTGCCAGGCACGAAGCCTGCTTGTTCTTCCGAAACCAAGGTAGATAGCAAGGGTTTCAATCTTGTGGCTACAAGTTTTGCATAGAGCTTCACATCAGCATTTAATAGCGAAATTGGTCGTAGATTGCCACAGGAAGTGGGTGGTTTATTCGGCTTGGGTAGGGTAATGACGTATGCTTCCAACATGGTTCTAGGGAAATGGCCAGTTTCTTTTATTTTATTAAAAAGTTTGGTTATGTGCGGGGATAGGTATGGTTCTAATTTAAGATAATAGTAATTCGGGAGACCGTCTGGGCCTGGGGCTTTATGCCTGGGGAGAGATTTGATAGCCGCAGCTACTTCGGATTCCGTGAACGGGGCAGTAAGCGTGTTATTTTGTTGTTGTGAAATTTTTGGCAATTGTATTTTTTTCTAAATAGGTTAGAATTTCTGTTTTGTCTGGAGTGTGCGTATTCTCGTTTGCGTCTAGGTTGTATAGTTCTTCATAGAAAGATGCTAATTCGTTCACTATGTCGGTAGGATTATATATTTTTATCTGTGACTTTGAGAGAATGTATGGGATTTTCGTTTGAAGATATTTGGATTTCAGTTGGTTTGCTAGCAATTTTCCGGCTTTATTGCCCATGCCATAATAGTGACGTTGAAGTTTAGCTGCGTTCGTGGTGAATTCTTTGACCTTAATTTTTAGTATCTCTTCACGCGTTTCTGTTATTTGTTTCGTCGTGTTGCGGGAAGGGGTTAGTTTGTTGACATTTTCCAAAGTCGTGAGTTTCTGGAGCAACTTTCGTTGTAGGTTATGAGATTTCTTCTTGTTGATTGATCCTATTTTGATAAATTCTCCTCTGATCACCGCTTTGTGAGCGAGCCATTGGGTTTCTATTGATGTATCATTTGTAGTGTTGATTTCGAAATAGTTTTGCAAATCGCGGGCAATCTTCTCTAAATTCGAAGGTGTGTCAAGAATGGACTCATTTAATCTCCATTTGCCTCGGCCTCTCGTTGGGTAAGGCACTGCTATTGTGATAATTATTGGGGCATGGTCCGACCATGTTCTGGTCCCTATCGTTTGATCTAAAAGATGAGGTAATGTGGATTTATCTATCAAGCAGATATCTATTCGGGTATATGTTAAGTGGACCGGAGAGAAGTAAGTGAAATCCTTAGCAGCTGGGAATAGGTTTCTCCACGTATCATAGAGGTCGTGAGAGAAAATAAGATTGGAAAATGATTTGCTGTTGTGGATGGTTAGTTTGTTAGGCTTTTTATCGTTGGCACGTTGAATATCTAATGTAGGGTCTAGTGTACAGTTGCAATCACCGCAAATTATAACATGTCCTTGTTTTAGTGAGGAGATTTTCTTTATGGCTTTGTTGAGAAAGGAGAATTGAGCCTCATTTGGTGCGTATAAGGACGCTATCGTCACTTGGATTCCGTTAAGGTCTCCCACTATAATTAGCAATCTCCCATTTGGGTCAACATGTTGGTTGGTTGGGGTGAATACCCAGTCTGCATGTAGTAGGATGGTTACACCTTTTGATTTGTTTGGCGCATAAGCATGATAAGCTATGGGGTATTTGGAGGATCGTAGATTAGGAGGGTTCTTTTTGCAAAAATGAGTTTCTTGAAGGCATACTATAGCGGCATTGGAGTTGTGCATGTCTTTTAGAGCTTGTCTTCTTTTGTACGGGCTGTTGAGGCCTTTGACATTGAGAGATAAAATTTTCATTGTATTAGCCATTGATTGATTGGGTAGCATTCGTGGCTGCGCTTAGGTGTCCTGTCCTTATGGTATGAGGGGCAAGCTGAACGTTCACTTCCACAGAAGTAGAGCCAGTAGTATCAAGTGTAGCATTGCATCCATTAAGGCGTACGGATGGGCTTCTTAGTGATGCGTTCGGATGTGAGGGTAACAAGTAGAGGGAGAAGAAGGGAAGAGAGAGGGATTTAACAAGAAATACATAACTATATACAAAGGATCCTTCTTTGAAGAGAAGGTGTAGAGTGGACATGTTGAGACCACTATGAGTGTCTCGAGCCATGACCTGGGGGGCAAGAGAGAGTTCCTCCAGCCTGATGTGAATCGCGTAACAGTGAGTAACTGCTTGTAAGAATGCACAAAAGTAACAAAAACATCATTAGAAGAGAGGAAATCCAATGTGGCAGAAACTACAACGCCTGGAAGAGTGAAGAAGGTAGAGCTAATGTCTAACTGCAATATTCATATATTTGCTAACGTGTCACCAGAGCTAGAGGATGCGTTCGGCAGGCGAACGGTTTCCGAATTCTATTAGAGCGTGACATGAAACACGGGATGGTGATATCAGCATGAAAACCGGGTAGTGGTGATACTAAGCTAGGGGGGGGGGTTTGGGAAGGACGACGTTGCCGAATAGTGATTCGTCTACGCTCAATCGTCTATGATGTCCTTCCTCTCCCATTGAATATAGGACTCGGCCACTAAATTGTAAAACCATAAGACATGACTAGCGAATATAAAGTGTACAACATAAATAAAAAATATAAAATAAAGTAAAATAAATACAATAAGGCGGGTTGCACCGTATGCTGGTAGATGAAGGGTTGATGTTTCTAACCTGCATACGGCGCCCAGCACTATATACAGTCAGAGCATATGCACGTGTGAAAGCTAGTATTTGGGAACGTGTACCTGCGACATGGTGCATGCAGTTGCAACGCTTTTTGTCGTTTTAAAGTCATAGATTAGAATTTATCCAAGGAAGGAACATAAAGTAAGCTAAAGAAAAATACTGTGTTTAATAAACTTTTTGGTGATGCAAGCGCGTACGCTCATTCCTTCTAACAAGTAAGTTGGGATTGGTAGTATATTGTTGCGCGGTTTTAAGTTAGTCTAATCGCTCATAATCAGATAGGCGGTAATTGCACTTATAATGCTGCATGTACTAGGTGCAATGATGTTAATCTACCATTTTATGGACATCAATCCAAGTACAGGAGTACCGGGTTTAGAATTATCACCCGCAATTAAAATCAGAATCTGTACTAAGTGACACATGGTGATCGTGAGCGATCACGGAAAACCAGGCTAATAGGCGCAACTGAAAGGGTCCATGTCGCAATGTGCACTTCATATCAGGCGTGTACAATTATGCATTACCACATTTTCATAGTATCTACTCCTTAAGCATATATTATTCAGACAATTTCTAGTAAAAAATGAGTTAAGGCATATAACTTAACTAAGTTTTAGAGTCAATTATGCTGAAATTCAATGCAAACGTAATGACATATTACACAGTAAAGAATAAAGAGAGAACAATTTAACATGAGAACTTATCAGCATATTGCAGTATAGGTTATACTCATCGCTTCCCGCGAATGTTGAGTTAAAAGGCAGTTCATGGTTTTGTAGTAGACGATCCCGTCATATTCCAATCCGCTTGAAGTTTCTTCGGGGAAAGGTCTGTTGCTTGTGCGGCATGTGAAGTTGTCGTGGTTGCATTCCAAAGCCCCCAGGAGGTGATTATCTTCATACCTTCGGCTGGTTCGGTTATAACCAGTGTTCTGCCTTGTCTCCAGACCAGAAGTTTCGTTGGGTAACCCCACTTGTAGGAGATATTATTATTGCGTAGGGTTTTGGTGATGGTTATAAATTCTTTTCTACGTGCCATAGTGGAAGCTGATAGATCAGCAAATAAGAATATATTTCGAAAGGGGTCAGGTAGAGTGCCTGCCTTTCTTGCTGCGTTGAGCAGAGTGTTCTTGTGTGCAAAGTAGTGAAACTTCACAATAGTGTCTTTAGGGACATCTTGTGCCATACGTGCCGGGCGTGGAAGTCTGTGCATGCGGTCAAAAGTCCATGCAGAGTCTGGTAAGTCTGGAACTAAGATTTTACAAATAGATAGTATATAAGCAGGAAGAGCATCGTGGGATATATCGTCCGGTATACCCCTGAATCTTACGTTCTGCCTTCTGGATCTATCCTCTAGATCTGCTAATTTTAATTGAAGCATATTGTTGTCTTCTGAGAGTTTCTGAAGTTTATCAACAACTTCGTTGTGAGCTACACACAGCTCGTCGGATTTGTTTTCAAGATGGCTGGTTCTTTCGCCCAGTGTTGTGATTTCCTTCCTCAGTTCACTGTCAATTTGTAGGAAATCCTTCCTAATGGTAGAGCGGAGGTCTTGTAGCATTCTATGCAGACTTCGTTCTGTGATCATTGAGTCCGATAGTTTGGAGGAGATTGATTCAGCATCTGACTGGTCGTCCGACAAGCCAGGTGTGTCGCCGCCATCTTGTTTGTCTTTTCTCCGGTCTTTTTTCCGGGTTTTCACCGCGTCCATGATCTTCAGCTGTTTGGGGGGTGACATAGTCGTTGGGTAATACCTTAGGAGCGCGGATGGGTGGACAAATGTGCAGTTTTTGCTTCTGTTGTCGCTGTCAGGCTAGATTTCGGCGGAGCTCTCAAGCCATGCGTCCGTACTCTCCGGAAGTCGGACACCCACTCAAAAGCCTCCTATTAATACACTCTCATGTAAAATATTAAAACATAACATATGGCATTTCAAATCAATCCCGTATTGATGCAATGCATTCTAAAAGAAAAAGATGAAAACTGTAGTGTGATATGTCAAAACTTACATCTGATACCCCACACTTCTAAAATTCCAAGTCATACCACATTGAGCAATAATTGTTGCTCAGTAAATGTTTTTCTGGTTAATATCTGCATGGAAGCAATAACAGAACCTCAAGGAGGGAATGAGTAATGAATCGATCAAAGGTAAATATATAAAGTATAAAATGTTTAACAAAAATTAGATAAAGATACCAATGGAATGTACGTTGATTTGCATGGAAGTCTGCCTTAAAGGACCACTCTAGGCACCCAGACCACTTCAGCTTAATGAAGTGGTCTGGGTGCCAGGTCCTTCTAGGGTTAACCCATTTTTTCATAATTATAGCAGTTTCAGAGAAACTGCTATAATTATGAATGGGTTAAGCCTTCCCCCTAATCCTCTAGTAGCTGTCTCATTGACAGCCACTAGAGGCGCTTGCGTGCTTCTCACTGTGATTTTCACAGTGATAGCAGCGTGTTCATAGGAAAGCATTGTAAATGCTTTCCTATAAGTGCTGGAATGCTGGAAAGAGCCTTGCCGCTGCAAGCATTCAGCCGGCGGGGCTGGGATCGAGGCTGAGAGGAGGAGGAGAGCTCTCCCACCAGCTGGAAAAGGTAAGTTTTTACCCTTTCCCTTTCCAGAGCCGGGCGGGAGGGGGTCCCTGAGGGTGGGGGCACCCTCAGGGCACTATAGTGCCAGGAAAACGAGTATGTTTTCCTGGCACTATAGTGGTCCTTTAATTCAACCTGCTCTGTTTTGGATGGCCAATTTTCACTGTGTTCCTTTGGTAGCTTACCCCTCTCGTTTAGTTCAGTCTTTCTGGTTGATCTTTCCAGTGACAATGATCTGTATTAGGTAACCAATAACTGAGCTTTTGTCATTTTGTTATTGCATCAGTCTCAAGACAATATCATGCTGTCAGTCAAGAAAGTCCAGCATTAAGATCCTAAGTCATCTGTACCTCCCTAACAGACTCCTGGGCCAAGTAGTGATGCATTTTCCTGGGAGTATCACACAAAAACAGAGATGATCTCATATGAGAAGATAGAAAAAAGTTATCTGCTTTAGAAACAGGATTATTTGTGTTTTACTCTCAAGACTCAAGGAATCCAAGTCACCTTGCTATAGATTGAGTATATAAACACATACAAGGTCTATCTAGAAAGTATCAAGCCATGTAATATGAAAAACAGAGACATTTATTGAAGAAGATACACGATGTAAGAAACATTGTCTGTACTACATAGGACACTGACACCTCAGTTCCCTTCAAAGTAGGCGTCTTGGGACCCCACACAGTATTCCCAGCATCTCTTCCACTGTTCAAAATGCTCTGTAAAATCCTTTGTTGGAATCACTATTAGCTGCCTCGTCATATATACCTGAATCTCATCAACAGTCTGAAATCTCTTACCTTTGAAAAGTTATTTAGTTTTGGGAAAAGCCTGAAGTTGCAGGGCGCCAAATCTTTCAACACATCCTAAACGATCTTTAACGTGTTTGTGTCACACTTTTATTTGCACTGCACTCGTTGCATCATCCCTGAAAGCCTTCTGAATCATCCAAACAGCTTCTAGGGAGGAATGTTCAAGCCTAATGCAAACTTTGAGGCAGATTCATTGCTTTACTCGCTCAGTCATTTTGAATGCGATGGCCACACAGTGCACATGCTCACTCAATGGCATCTAGCGTCCCCACTGACTAGTACAGTGAAGTTTTCATTGTTTATTGATACAAATTTCAGTCGACTCTACTTGGCTGCCAGGTTATGCTACACCCCACTGGGGTCATGTTCAGTCCTGGAACTCAGGTACAGTAACAGCTTACAAGCATGATCCACAGATATCCTGAGGTTGAGATCAGGATTCTGTTGAGTCAGTGATCGCATGCGGCCTTTAATAAAAATAACAGAAAAATCGAAAGGCAAAGTTATTTGAAGAAGGGTCAGGCAGAAATCAGAGACAGATGGTCCAGAGGTCAGGGCAGGTGGCAATCAGCAAAATTCAGAGAGCAGGCAAAGTCAGGAAACCAACAAGGACAGGAAACACAGCGAAACAAATGCTAGGAGTTCCTAGGCAGGCAACAAAACAACCAAGCACTGACTGAAAGGTGTGCTCTGTTTATGTAGGAGTGGCTCAATCACATAACCTGGTCTCACCTGAAGGAGGTGGTTACCTGAGGTCAATCTGACTGACTGTGAGACTCAGCCCCATTTCGGATGCATGATTGTCTTGGCTCTGCTCCTCAGCCACACCTCCTCCAACCTCTGACCTGCACACCAGTCTCCTAATGCAGGGGCTGCCATTTTGGAATGCCAGATCAATCACTATGAGTTCCCTGGCTATCACTCAAGGTTCAGAGGATGCTAAATGGGGTGAAGCAGCTACAGGCACTATGACCACTGCAGACTGACCTCCATTGTGTTTCGGGCACCCTGGGGCAGGTGAGTACTGTTGGCGAATGTGACAGGTTACATCGATGTCGCGCAAACCATTCTCATTATATTAACAATGGCTGGGCCTCGTATACTCAATGCTTGCAAAAGCAAACTCTAACTCCACTACCAGTCAGTATAGAATACAAAAAGAAAAGAAAAATGTCCAGCACAAATGAAGTTGATGTTTGCTGAACATTTTTCTTTTTGGATTCTGTAAAATCATTTAGACAACATTTGATCGGTTTAATATCTTATGGTAACACATTGAAACAAATTATCTCAAAATGACATGTATTTGAGGTTCATATATTGTTGCAGTGTTGGTGTTTGAAGGCAGAGGCGTATTTGTGTGTAGTGTTGGTATTTAATTCAGTGGTGTATTTTTGTGCAGTGTTGATGCTTGAATGTAGGGACGTATTTGTGTGCAGTGTTAGTGCTTGAATGCAAGTTTGATATAGGAGCTATCCCACTATATCAGATGTACATTTTATTCTGTCGATCCTCCACCAGAATCTCAAAGAGCTTGAAAGCATGGCAGGCAACGTCTTGCATTTAGTTTGGTGGGACATAAACTCTCAATAGAGTGACTTGTGTGTTTTTTACTCTAATCTCTGCAACTAGGAAAGGCAGAGGTAAAAAACTGATCATCATTTATCAAGGACTTAGAGCTGGCCAGAAGGAACTTTCATGCTGTGAGCTAGAATGTCTTAGTGGACTAAGGATTTAGACTTCAATGGAATATACCTTTACTTTGCTAAAACAATCCAGCCCCGTGTATGTAAATGATCCAGCCATGTCCAAGCTGTCTAGAGTTAGCTTGCTGTGTGTGGTGACACCAGGACAAAGGTTGTACTAAACTAATATTGCCTCCCAGAAGACATTTTTACAGCCTGCTGGTTGACAGCTCAGGGAGGTGGTCCTGCACAAAAAAATACATACTTACCTCTGGAACAAATAATTTTGCAAAAATAAAGGCTTCAGGGACAGGGTTTCTGCATCATAAACAATTTTGTAAGAAGGTATGGTAGTGATGCTTAAAATGACATTATAACAGTAAAACATCAAAGAAAAAAATTGCATTGAGCATCACTCAACTGATCTCTGTATGAAATGAGTTGATAGGATTCGTTAGTATCTGGTGCCCTTCTCATACATCGCTCTGCTTTTAGTAGCAGTATTTATATAGCACCAACATGTTGCATATTAGTTTACAATTAGAGAAAGGAATGGGGAAGGCTCTGATCAAATGTGCATACAACCTATGGTTCTACACCCCCCTCCCAAAAAAACTCCAAAACTAAATAAAACAAGTAAAGTAGGGTTCACATGACTCATGATTAAATGAGAGAGTTTAATGAAGAAACCTCATTCTCATTCTCAGGTCCAGGGAACGGGGAACATATAACAATAGTCATGTCTGAATTATTCCAGAGTTTCTCGTTCTAATCTTCCGTGTATAAAGCAAGCTTTTCTGAAAAATAAAATAGCTTATTTCAACTGCTTTTGAATTCATAGAAAATAAAGCAAAAGCAAACAGAGGAAGAGAAACAGTCACTGAGCCATCCTACAAAGCCAGATTTATGTACTTATTGATAGTGATGAAGTTGTAAATTCATCTCCAATGATCATCACTCTGAGTATTGTACCGTAAATCTAAAGACCAGGTTTTATATTCATACACTTTGGCAGTCTGGCAGTTTTAATTGATTGAATGTGAAAAAAAATCTATATATTCAATAAGTAGTGATGTCCCGAACGGTTCGCCGAACGGTTCGCCGAACGGTTCGCCACAGACGGCAAACATATGACACTGTACCTCACAGTCAGCAGACACATTCCAGCCAATCAGCAGCAGACCCTCCCACCTCCTGTACAGCTCACTAAGAATGCAGCTTCAAAATGGATGCTGTCCAGGAGGTGGGAAGGTCTGAGAGGGAGGGTCTGCTGCTGATTGGCTGGAATGTGTCTGCTGACTGTGAGGTACAGGGTCATATGTTCGCCATCTGTGGTGAACCGTTCGGAGAACCGTTCGGCGAACCGTTCGGGACATCACTACTTATTGAATATATAGATTTTTTTTTCACATTCAATCAATCAAAACTGCCAGACTGCCAAAGTGTATGAATATAAAACCTGGTCTTTAGATTGACGGTATAATACTCAGAGTGATGATCATTGGAGATGAATTTACAACTTTAAAGCCTTTATTTCTGTTATTTATATATTTTTTCTTTTTTACAAATAGTTTTCACATGGACTTAATAATAACATATTAAGAGACCCCTTA